AGTACACAACTACATTTTTTCTACAATTCATACCACTCAACATTTTTTCTATATATCTATATATTTTATATTTAAGTAAACTACTATATTTTTTTCTATTTTGTCTACAAATAAAATCTATCTATTTTATCTATATTTTTTCTATGCCGAAAAAAATAATATGCACACACACATGACACACACACAATGTTGCTCACATATAGCACAACGAGCATGAGCACGACGGTGAGGACGAGCATGAGCACGGCGAGGAGATCGAGGACGGTGAGCACGAAGGATGACGAGCGTGTGGAGCTAGCTGGGACAAGGCGCGTGTGTGCGTAGAGCTAGCCACCAGGGACGAAGGACGAGCTCGAGGCGCCGTGCTAGCCGGAGGTGATCTCTCGATGATGAGGACGAGTGTGCGGCGACAAGGATGGTGATGAGTGCTCCGGAGAAGGGGACAACGAGCGCACGGCGAGGCACGCGTGCGCATGGAGATGGGGACAAAGCTGGTGATGACGAGGATGAGGATCGATGATGGCGACGAGGGCACGGCAGATCCAAATCATATCTGGGTGAGGGCGAGGATGATGGCGGCGGATCTAGGTCTGGGCGCCGCACACGGACAGGAGAGGCACGAGCCGGGCCATCGGCGGAGAGGTGAGAGACGGGAGAGGCATGTGGAGGCAGCTGGAGGCGATGAGGAGTGGTGGCGGCGCGGTGGCTATCGGGCAAAGAATGAAGACGATGGAGGGAGAGAAGAAGACGAGGCGATATATATTTGGGGGACCTTTAGTCCCGGGTGAAGCCACAGCCCAGGATTAAAGGACCTTTAGTCTCGGGTGATGGTGAGAACCGGGACTAAAGGTTTGACCTTTAGTCCCGGGTGCAGCCACGACTCGGGACTAAAGTTGTTTTTTTGGAAAGCCAAGAAAACGCAGCCCACCTTTAGTCCTCAATGGTTGATAAACCCTGGAGTAAAGGTGGGCTGCAGTTTGGCTTCCCGCCGGTTTCCAGAAGTTTTTCCTTTTTTATATATTTATTTTATATAAATATGCATATGGTTGTTAATTGCCTAGTAAATAAAATATTAGCCAAAAAATTACAAAAAAACCTTGGACCTGGTTTTGCATTATTATACACAACAAAAATATGTAAGCTAAACTCTTCTGTTTTACCATATAAATATTTAACATAGTGTAAATAATAATCACAATTTGCACCATGAAAAAATGTACTACTTGATTAAAATCATTAAAACTATTGCTTTTCGATAGGAAATTAGTTTTCACATCTTATTAACGTTGCTCATTTAGTTTTTCATCACACATTCTCCATGGAAAATCTACCATCAAGCAGAAAATTCATTTAAACCATAGAAAATATGAAAACACGACAAAAAAATCTAAAGTCACAATTATTACATAATAGGTTTAATACATCACCATATAAAGCAGGAACGGCAACGAACTTCTTCTTGACGTATGTCCCTTGGTTATGATCGCGTCGTAACCATGGAGTGTCCTCATTATTTAGCAGGATGCTTGGGTCACTGTTTACTATGAAGAGCGGAATTCCATCCTTCTTTTCATAATCTTCTGACATGTCAGACATGTCCTCGATTCCTACGATGTTTCTTTTCCCTGAAAGAACTATGTGGCGCTTTGGCTCATTGTCCGAGTCATTGTCGTTGGTTTTCCCTTTCTTTGGTTTGGTAGACATGGATGAATGGTTCGTCTCTATACCCAAGATTGTTGAGGTCCACTATTGTCATTCCGTATTGATGGTCCATTGTTACCCCACCTTCGATCACCTTCACCCATTGGCACCGAAACAAAGGGACCTTAAAATAAGGTCCATAGTCTAATTCTCATATCTCCTCTATGCAGCCATAATATGTTTCTTATTCCTATTTGGGTCTGTGGCATCTATGCGGACACCACTGTTTTGGTTGGTGCTCCTATTTTCTTGGGCTATCGTGTAATATGTACTGCCATTTATCTTGTACCCTTTGAATGTTAGGAGATGCCAAGATGGTTCCCTAGACAACAAGTACAGTTGGTCATCTAGACTCTTGTCACCCTGATATCATTTTCGCAACCAACCGTCGAAAGATTCCATGTGCCGACGTGTAATCCAGGCTTCAGTCCTCCCTAGGAATTCGGATCGTACAATGTCCTTGTGTACCTCGATATACGTATCCACCAAGGAGGAGTTTTGTAGAACTGTGTAGTGTGCTTTATAGAAATAATCGTCCTCCTTGCCAATATATGCTTTCTTCCTTAGTGTTCCCTTTCCACTTAGTCTCCCCTCATGCCATGATTCAGGAACACCAATCGAGTCAAGGTAAGAAATAAAATCAACATAGAACTCAATGACCTCCTCTGTTCCATAGCCCTTGGCGATGCTTCCTTCTGGCCAAGCATGGTTCTGAACATATTGTGTAGGAACACAGGACCGAGAATACTAATCTCTTTGATCAAGTGAACTAGGAGGTGCGTCATATATTAAAGAAGGATGGTAGGAACACCAACTCAAAGCTGACAAGATATTGGACCATGTCATTCTGTAGCTTTGATAGATGCGCTGGATTGATTGCCTTTTGAGAAATTGCGTTGAGGAATGCACATAGTTTCATACAACATGGTAGGCATATATTCATACAACATGCATTTCATTATAAGACAGTGTTTGACCGCGCTCTGGCCGGCTTCGGCTCCGTGCACAGTTAGCATGCCCTCCATAGTATGGCTAGAGTACCTCCCCAAACATGCCCTAAATTAAACCGGCCGGCCGACTCTGTCTCCGGCAAAAAGCAACGGACAAAGGAGAGGAGCCGGTGGAACCAAGGATTTGAAGCTCCGGCGGCCCTCCATAGTATGGCTAGAGTACCTCCCCAAACATGCCCTAAATTAAAGTGTGAAACACGCGGAAGATACACAAAAACTAGTTAGGACTGTGCTTGTTATTCTCATTGCTCTGATCTTGCTTTGTTAGGTTGGCCTTTGCGCGCATCCAGACAAGAGCGAGCTACCACTGCACTATTCTTCCAGCAATAAAGTCACGTTGGCAGTTGGCACAGCGTACCCACGCTCACCGAGTCTGATCTCTCGAGAACATGCACGGTAGACCTGCGCAGCTAGCATCCATTTTGTTGGTCTCTATAGACGGCCTTCTTGTGCTCGCAGTCCCGCGCAGCGACAAGGACATAACAAGGATATATTTAGTGCATCCGCAGTCGGCACAGACAAACGATTGATTTGTCCTCAAAGTAGCTTTTTGCCCAAGATTCAAATTTGTCTTAGCCTTCAAAAATCAAAAAGTTACTTGGAAGGGAAACGACGACTCTCGCAAAGTCTACTACTATGTATAGCTTATTGCTAGCCCTGATGTGATCAGCTTGGTCTTCCTTCTTATCCCGATGACTGTGATTGATCAAAAACAGTGATCAGAGATATATGGTAGAACTTGGAAACAAATTGACTATATGATCATGCATATCAACATGTACATATGGTAAGCCAATAGATTGTGTATATATGAGCATGTCTGTTTCAGATTTAGCGCATGGTTGGACATGCCGTGTTGTGTAAACTTTCAATAATTGTCACAACACTACTACAGAAAGTTCATCACCGCTGGCTCCAAAGCCCTCTTCACCGATGGTTTTGGCTGTCATTGGTAAAGTCGTTGGTGGTAGCCTAGATGATCACTGCCGGTTGTGAGACCGGCAGTGGTATTGTTCATCACCACTGGATCAGCATATAATACGGCGGATATCTTTTTGTACCGACCGCCGGATCGAAGCATGTGGAATTCAGTGTCCGAACAACCGGCGATGAAACTTCTGATCACCGCTAGCACGGCAGACGATGCGGTGTTTCGAATCATTGCGATTTCCACCGCTAGATCATAAGGCGAACCGACAGTGCTAGCTTGTTTCACTGCCGGCTCTAACGGTGGTGCATCCTTCCATCTTGAAACCGGCAGCGAAACTTCTTATCTCCATCAATTTCTTTGTGCATCGCGCATAGGATGATTAGCCGGCGGTGCTAAAATGATCCACCGTCGGTTCGGCATATGATGCCGCGGCGAAGACTGGCTCTGTGTTCATCGCCGGATCATAAAGCTATGAACCCAGGGTGATAAGTATCACCGCTGGTTTCTTATAACCGGCGTAAAAGTCCCGGCAGTGATTAAACTTTTTGTAGTAGTGATCGTGTGGTATGTGGACTTCCAATTCTTCTATCTTAATATAAAGATGTGCAGTTTTCTTGCACATTCAAGAAAAGTATGTGCATGCCACTACGTGTATATAGGCCAAAAATATATATTTCAGTGTGCCTATTCTCAAATAATAGACGGATCGACTATTTATAAAAAAACAAGGATCCACAGGTAAAATTAAATTCTACTAGTAGGTAACGGTGTATACTAGATACATGATGACTAGATTACAACTAAATTGATATGATGAATAATCCACGTAAGCGTGAGACCTCGAAACATAATTAGCGCAATGTATCTACCAAATCACTGAATAACTATATGGATCACACGCAATAAAGCGCACCCACGTATGCTGATTTATCCACGCCTAGCTAACTCGAGTTGCCAACGGATTCGTTTGTCGGATTAACAAAAATCGAAGTCGCGCTCAAGAAAATGACCACAGATGACATGAAGTATGGACAGAATGCAATAGCAAACCGAATAATTCTATCTCGCAAAAAGCAAGCAAAAGGAAAAAGAGCTCGTCGAGGAGAACACATCACGCACCGCTCTCCCAAGTGTCAACAAAGTGGCAAGCACTAGTTCACTCCCCGGGTCCTCGTTTCACACGCATCCTGCGCGTCCAGAGTCCAAGCTCTACGTGCGCTAGCCTTTGGCTGTTTTAGACCATGCAGGGACACACTGACCTGCCGAGCCATGCACGGCTGCACCCTATAAATACACCGGCTTCTCAGTTCACTCCACCACACAACCAACCACACTTGCACTAAGAGCTAGCAGCCAAGATGGCGACCAAGCATCTGGCACTTGCCATCCTCGTTCTCCTTAGCATAGGCATGGCCACCGCTGCTGGAAGCCGCAAACTGGGTTACGGCCCCGGGGGAGCAGGTGGAGCAGGTGGCGGTGGTGGTGGTAGGCGGTGGGTGGGGAGGCTATGGGTCCGGATCAGGGTATGGGGGATCGGTGGCTATGGGTGCTGCTGATGGGGGTGGTGGTGGCGAGGAGGCGGTGGTGGCAGGGTGGTGGTGCTGGTGGTGGGTATGGCTGGGCAGGGGTGGTGGCGAAGTGGTGGTGGTGCTGGTGGGTATGGGAGTGGTGGTGGAGGTGGTGGTGGCCAAGGTGGTGGTTCGGGCATGGCCATGGGGCAGTGCTACGGAGCTGGCAGTGGTGGTGCTGGTGGGTATGGGAGCGGTGGTGGTGGTGGACAAGGTGGCGGTGGTGGCAGTGGCCAAGGTGGATCTGGCTACGGCTCTGGCTCGGGGTATGGGTCAGGTGAAGGATATGGAGCAGGTGGTGCTCATGGAGGAGGCTATGGAAGCGGTGGCGGCGGTGGAGGTGGCGGTGGCGGTGGCGGTGGTCAAGGTGGTGGCTCTGGCTATGGATCTGGATCCGGCTCTGGCTCTGGTTATGGAGGTGGCAACGGCAACGGGCACTATTAGGCTCTTTTTGAGAGGTAGATACATAAGTATATTGTTACAAATATGTCACCAAACATGAGTCTGTCTTGCTGCTGGAAGCTGTGTTTATCGTGTGCAACACTACAAGGCTTGTTTGACCTGTAAACTGCTTGCCGCTTTACATTACTGGCAACAGCTAAGTGATAAATAAAAAGCATCTATGGAATTATAGTATGAACACTTAAGAGACAGGCTTGTGTGATGTGGCTTTTGTGTTATATAGAGTGCGATGTGGAAGCATGCATATGCAATATTTACGTACATGCATGTCAAATATCTGGCAATAGTATTCGACTTTCGTACGGTAACTGAAGCAGAGCTTCCATTGACAAGAAGATGCGTTTGCAAAGCTAGTTCTCTGTAGCGCAGCATTTCGGACACCAGTTCTATGTACTAATGATCTACTGGAAAAAAAAACATGTTACCGTAAGTGTAGAAACTCTTGTCGGGCACAACTTCAGCCAACATAAAGTTTCTTATTTTACATCAGCTGGCCGTATGGTATCTTGTTAATCTATGCCGTGAATGTAAAGTGAGCAGAGCAAGAACGTGAGCAACGAGGGAAAGACTAACAGAAGTACAGAACACAGAAAGCATCTCAGTTCTTGCAAGGGCGGGCATTTCAGCTTTCTGTCCTGGGCCCTGGCACATCATCTATGCATGGGATTGAGTAGTACTCATAGCAATTCAGAACTTCTAGGGAGTTCTTAGTCTAGTCTAGATTGTTTTTCTCGACAGTAAATCGAGTGCCGCCCCTCGATCTGACTTTAGGTGAGCTCGCACAATCGTATCTTATTAGTGCAACTTTTGGTTTTCCGAGAATTCGCCTCGTTTGTGAATCTTTCTTTCTCCCATTCTGCTATGAGATTGGTTGTGGAGTTATCGTCATTCATGCAATATCTCACAACTGTTATGCATCGTGAATCTGCTGGAATCTCGCTACTGAGAAACTCCTAACTCGCAAGATACCGCAATTTCTACAGGCCTACCGCGTGGTATATAAACTGATCGAAGAACCCTTCTTTGATTCCAACCCCTGCATCGTTCATTCCTCCTCCGTCCTCTTGCTCTCTGCCAAGCGCCCAAGCAGCCTGTGGCAAGAGCTGGTAGCGAGCAGCCGAGCATGGTTACAGCACGGTGTGGCGGCATGTGCGATGGTCACATGTTGTGCCGAGATATTCATAGTTCTTGCGGCTGGACAGCGGACAGCCCATCCTTCGCGCGACTGTGGTGGTCATATATATAGCAACTAGATCTGTCGGTGTTTTGCTTCGGGATTTGGTGTGTTCCTCCGGCGCCATGGTGTCAAATCTGGCGGTTTTCGTTCTAGTTGGATCTTGGGGGTAACGTATAGCACTATTCAAATATACCGGTGGGAGCAGTGCTTGGCAAAGGGTCACGGCAGTGCTTGGCCGTCTTGGTTGACAGCGTGCGTCCGTGCAGCTAGCTTGTTCGCATCGCATCCTCGCAAAGGCTATTGTTCATTTGTTCGGCCTTCTCTTCTCATCGGTAGCTGGATGGGGTGGTACACATGTGGTGCTAAGAATTTTCGTGATAATAATGGGTCGACATTGTTGACGCCCTCAGGACCTCGACTTGTCCGTTGGGATAAATAATAATAAGGCCATCGCACTGCTATAGATTTATTCTTCACCAAAATAAATCTAAAACCCCTCATCACCGATGGTTTCGATCTTAGTTGGTGAAAGTTCATAGTGATAATTAATCAACGTAACAACAAACAGCTTTGAATGATCATAATGATAGATCGCCAACGGTTCATTACTGTAACACCTTAAAATTTGCATGGTTTAAAATAGGAGAAAATGATTTAATTATGTATTTTGTGAGCATTGAAATTTAGAAAAATAATAACTTTGTTAAAATTAAAATCAAATATAGGTCTACATACATGTCTATGTATTTATGCTGCTGCCTTTTTTTTTTAATTCTGTGGTTTGAAATCAAACTTCAAATTAATTTGAATTTGTATTTCAAAATTGGTTTGGAAAAATAAAAAAAGAAAAAGAGAAAGGATTTTTCTCTCTCCCTTGCTTTGGGCCTGTTGGCCCAACTCCCTCTCTTCCGCGGCCCAACAGGAAGTCAGCGCAGCCCCACTTTCCTTTCCACCGCAACCTAGCAAGACCGCAGGCCCACTCCCTCTTGGCCCAGCGTCGCCCGCCGCACCCATCTCCTATCTCTCTGCCAGGCCGGGCCCACGCGTCAGCACCTTCTTCGCGAGCCGGCTTCGTCTAGCTCCGCGCGTATCCGCGCCGGAGACCGCCGCGAGACTCCGCTCCGTCCCCGTCTTGGTCCTTGTCGTATTCCCCAATCCACTCGCCCCTTTAAATACAGAGCAGCGTCGTACCCCACCACCTCCATCCTAAGCCTCGGAGCTATTCGTCGCCTTCACCTGAGCCGCTACAGCCCTAGCTGCATCGACGCTGTCCGTACCATCGCATCCCGCGCCGCCTCCGTCCTCTTCATGCCGCCCAAAAGTGCCGAGGTGAGATCGCCATCATCTCCTCGCTCGTCCGGTGTTTTTGCTTCGTGCTATCGTGAACCGTAGGTCGTTTTCGAAGAACGCCGATGAGCTTGGTCGCCGCCAGCCATGTCCACCGCCGTCTCCTCTTCCTGTTCCGGCGCCGGCCATGCTTTCTCTCTCACCGATTTGTTTCCGGCCGTCCAAATCCAAATCAACAGCCCAGATTAGAAGATACCCCTTCGCCTATCGTTTTGCAAAAAGGCCCTTATGATTATTTGGATCTCAACCTGCCGTCCCTGCTTTTATTCTAAAGAGCCCCTGCCTTTTCTTTAAATTGTATCCGCAGTCCTTAGGCAGATTTAAAATCAGGTTTTAATTATTTTAAATTCAGAAATTAAGTTTCATCTATTTACAAAATTGTCATTACTTGCTGTAGGCCATAAAATATTCGTTTTAACTCCGATTTAACCCGTTCAACTCGCGTTAGGTTCATAATTCCATAATCTACATGTTCATACTACTGTTAGGTATATTTTCAACTTTTAAAATTCGAGGTTAGATTTAATCTATTATTTTATTAAAGGAAAGCTTGTTTAATTCATAACTTCTTTATTTTAGCTCCGATTTTTGTGATCTTCACGTCTGTGTGTTCATAGCGAGACGTAGATTCGTTTACAAACTTTTCATCTTGATTTTATGTTGTTAGTGTACTGTTCTAATCTATAGTCTTTGTTTGCTATGCATGATTGCTTCTGGATGCTTGTATATTGATGTGATTATCGAGTATAGACGGTGAGCAATTCGTGGATGATCAAGAGTACTACTTTGACGAGCCGGATCAGCAGGAGCACTTTGTTTAAGGCAAGTATAGCATGGGATCATCCTTGTTTCCTATCAACTTAAATACATTTAATTCATGTTGCATGTGTCACCTTGATAGGGATTCCATAGAAATTGAACTTATATCTTGTCTCCTATCGGATATGCATTGGGTAGCTTTGCTAGTGCTCAACTAAACAATGATCTTGTAACTTGATTAATAGTATATGCAATAAACATTAAAACATAATTTTTTTAGCAACAGGAAAACAGGGGGCTGGAGTGTTTAGCTACTTTCTAAATGCTCTAGATTCCTCTCCCTAAGGACTTATCTATAAGTGATCATCCGAAACTTACAGTACAGCTATGAGGGCTACATGGCTCTGACTATAGCTCAGTATGAGGACATTTTCTAGCTTGTTAGTGGTTATCTTTATTGGCGTAAGAATGACTTACCGAATCGGGTATAGGACAGCCTCTACTCTTATGTATATAGCCGTGATGAAATTGTGCCATTCGACAGGGGTTCATATATCTGTTTGTCGAGTGAATCTAATGGCCCTAACTTATTAGACGAACCTTTGAAAAGCTTCATAGTGAAACATGCCTTCTCACCTTGGAAGTGTTTTGGGAGTAATTAACCCGGGCATATGGGTATCACGACTCATAGTGAAAGTATACAACCTCTACAGAGTGTAAAATCGGTATATCAGCTGTGCTCATGGTCACGAACGGCCTTGGAGTATTTATGGAATAGATGATCACTAAAAATTATCTGTTTATGATATTCATTGTTCATGTTTACATTGATCATGTGTTTTACTTTGGGATTGAAACAACTTGTTGCTAATCTCATGCTAAAATGGTGACAACTAAAAGCTGAATGTTGTTAAACCTGTATCAAGTTTTTTGAGCCTCATGAACCCCATATTACACTTGTTGAGTACGACACGTACTTACGCTGGTTTATTTTCATTATTTGGATAAAAATCCCGGATGGGTAATAGATAGCTATGGTAATGACGACTTTCCTGAGGATTACTAGACTTGTGGTCAACCAGTTGACGTCCCTGTGGTATGGAGCTTCCACGAGAGATTTTTCTTCATACTTCGCTATATTTATGTGAAGACTATGTCTTGTTATTCGTGATGTAATAAACATTTGTGATGATACTATTTATAATTTGTCGGCTTATGTGTGTGACTGATCTCTGGCGCACATAAGATTTTGCATCCCATTTTATCCTTAATATCGGGTGTGACAATTACATAAACGATTTGTGATAATCCCGTTACCACCAAAGGCTTAGCACACAAACTGCTTGTGACAATTACATTATCACAAATGGTTCCTTATAGAAATTGTTTGTCATATAACGGTCTTATCATCAATGGTTCCGTACACAAATCATTTGTGATAATTTTCTTATCACAGACGGTTCAGTACACAAACGACCGTTTATTGTGTGACAAATAAATTTCTAAAATTTGGTTAAGCCACTATTAGGTTTTGTTGGCTTTTAGAAAAATAAAAGTTTCAAAATTATGTTTGAAAATTACTTTGAAAACTTTGTTCAAGTTTGAATTCAAAAATATTTAAAATTTACTTCAAAATGTGTTTTATAAGTATGTTTACAAAAGGGCTTTTAATTTTCAAAATAGCTTTAAAATATATTTT